GGCTCTACACTGTCTGTTGACTGACCGGCTATAAAATCTTTAATCTTGATATATGGACAGTTAAAAAATATAAGTCGGACATGTCTGTTGAAGAAATTCGGCAGGTTAAGGTTAAATGTGTACAAGACATTCATATTCCATAATGTTTCATGGCATATATTAATTGTACATTTCTATATGTATATAAATCTTACATTGTGCGTACATGCATTTAAACACGTTCATAGCATAATAAATGGACCGCAAAATAATTTATTTTGTCGTAAATTATATACAACGAGTGAGGTAAAATGTATATCAAGTTTACAGGTTTATTTACTTCGCAAATATACAATATGTGTTTATGTAAATATAATTATGATTTTTTTAAGACAAAACATGTAAGATAATACAATGCTAGGTGATACGTCAGGTTTGACGCACTTCGAGTATTTGGGCTATACATGTTCATGAATTTCGTGTTAAATTTTGATTTTACACATATTGTAGAACCTTTCTAAATGATTTAGTATAATGAAGTTCGCGATATTTTACAAAAGAATTGAATTTTTTACAAAAGATTTTTCGATCCATACTATGTATAATGTTAAACCTAAATATAAAGGTTTTCAGTTGTACGTAGATATTTAAAACCAAAAACACCAATTAGTCGTCAAGCGGACATTATAATACAAACCTGTTATTGATATTGTAAAGGTAAAACTTTTTTTTCATGTAAGTCTACGAGTGCACGAGAAATATCCAAAACTTACCATCCTATGTACCAAGGTGCCTCGCCTTCTGAAAAAATTCGCACGTGCATCGGACATGTTGAATGCATCCTTAGGGTAGAAAAGTCAGTTTTGTACGGGAAAAATTGACACTGCTGATCAACCGAGTTAAAAGCACCTTCTTTCTCGGTGTACAATTTTTTTCAAAAAATCGTAGCTAAATGTCGACATTGCTAACCAGTCACCGGTGGCATCTTTGATTAGAACCGGAATGGAACTGTATGCGAATTTCCGTTTAAACTCTTTAGCGAAATACCATGCTCGACGGGGACGCTGTCTAAGTTCTTGCATAAGTCACACGTGCTTAATGGTCGCGCCATTTCTATCGTCAACTCATTATTTTCAATAAGGCACGGAAAAGATCCAATATCTAACGCGTCTTCTAATGCATCTTTGAAAAAATACGCTGCTACTGAACTTAAAACACCAACAAGAAACACAGTAACGAAAAGACATACTTTGACACGTCGCCTTTTCTTATAATCAACTTGAAAGGTTGGTAGGAGTATATGTTTAACATCCGTGAATTTAACCCCTTTTTCTTTCGCTTTCTTAGCGAGCGTCCTATATTTATCCACTAAATCCACTTTCGCTTTAACTTTATCCATCATTAGATTATTGTTTACATTCGACACAAATCTATGTTAAATGTTTATTTAAAATAGTCAAAAAATATTTCGTTCCAAATGGTTTAAAGACGAGTATCGTACACAAATGACCCCGGATACAAAACTATGCAATCATTATTACACTATTCGTTAAAACCAGTAGGAAGTAAAATTTATTGCTTAAGTTTATATAGTGCGTGCTTAAGATATCCAGTCTATTTATAAACCATTGAAGCATTCAGAAAAAGTTTTATCACTCGACCATACTCCTGTATGCGGATAAGGAACATTGATCAGGCGTTCACTAATCAATATACCTGTTCAATATAACAGAATATCTACAGAAAATATGACTGTCAGGTATAAATAATAATAATTATCAAAACGTGGTTTTATTTGTATAGATCGTGCATACAGTCCTGTCATAACTTGGTGAATGTGGAAAATTATGTTCAACAACGTTTCATGATATGGGGTATATATTTTGTTAAATAGGATAAATTTCTAGTCTATTATATAGGGTTAACGCACGTTTTTTCGTGTTATAACGTCTGCAGAGTCCCGAGGAACGGTTGGTGCCCGAGCTATTTGACTGGTTAAATCTTAACAACATAGCTATGAGAGTTGTACACAAGAACGCGATGTTATGATATATGCGTGTGTGTGTTATCTTTATAATTTTTGTGTTTAAATACATTATAATATGTATTGTATACTACTAGTAATACTCGTATAACCAAAAAAATCAGAATAATATTCTGAAAAACTTCTCTAAATTAATTAATAATTTAATAACTAAACTATTGATTTATTAATTAATGATTTAATTACTAAATTCGAATGAATTAATAATAATTATTAATTAACAAATTAATAAAAAAAAATATCTAAATCAACAAATGATTTCATTACATGTACTTAATTAGAATGAATAAACGATTTATAAATTAATTAATTGTTTATTCATTCTAATTTAGTTTTAATTAATTAATTTATTTATTCATTCATTTTGTATTGTGTAGATTATTATTAAATTCATAAGCAATTGATTGATTGATTGATTGATTGGTTGGTTGGTTGGTTGGTTGATTGATTGATTGATTGATTGATTGATTGATTGATTGATTATCTATTTATTTATTTACTTATTTATTTATTTTTGTTTGTTCAGAATTTATGTCCATGTAAAGAATTCTTAGGGTAAATGGAGAAATAATCTTGATAATGCACGTTGAGCATATGCACCGTAGTCTATTATAGTGAATGAAAATCTATAGGTTGTGTAAAATCGGTCATCTTATTCAGCTCTCGGTTTCGATTATATCAATTCATTTGAAGAGATAATGGGATTCTCTTTCTTTGTATATATATGTAAAATAATTGAAAATGAGTTCTTGAGATAAGCATACACTCGCCTAATGACTTTTTTTACCGCCAGGTACATCCTTAAGCTTGGTGTTGCGCATGACGTATATACCCTCTCGCCCTGGTGAAGACGTCTACTTAATTTTTTGACAATCAAGGAATAAGAAAGTTATATTAAGCCAAAGAGGAAAGTCGAAAATCACAATTTGGCCCTTGACCTTCAAGTGCAGCCTTGATTTTGAATGTGCATACATAATGTTTGACTGTAGTGAAAAACATTTGCCAAATATTTTGACAATCATCCAAGTATTGACAAAGTTTAAAGCCAGACAGGATTTGAAATTTGACCTCCAAATATGGCCTTGACATTTAATGTGCAGATGTGGGTCTTGCACATAAGACATCCTCTACTGTTGATCATGTGTACCAATTTCTTTCGAAATCTCGTCATGCATACTACAGTATACATATGTATATATACGTCATAGACCAAACTCAATCTTCAGCTGCATTCGATCGGACAGGCCTGCATGCTGGAGAAATGTAGCATTACGTATGCTCCAACATTTTAAATGGGGTTTGTGGGGCATTAAAAGAAATACGGAGGTTTACTGTGCGGAAGTTCTGTTCTAATGGTATAATTGTTTTTGAACTTGGAATACTATATCTTTAAGTTTATGTTTTCACCGTTAAACAAAGGGTGCATATATTAGCATTTTGGTTTTGAGCATGCCCGCTTAAACTAGTGTTTTGGCACGTGAGAAAGATTTTTTCCAGGAATAATAATATATCGTGATAACTTTTTATACGTGCATATACCTATGAAAAGCACTACATGTATCATACATGTACGTGTTTTACAAAAGGATCTGAGGTGTGGGTCTTTATCCAGCGTGTTGTATTCTCGGGTTCGTACATCAAAGGAACATTAATTAAGTCTAAGAAATGAATGTTTTTGTTGTCTTTTTTCTTCTTTAGAAAGGTCAAGCACGTCGTGTTTTATCATGTTTTTATAAAAAATTATAACATGTTCGGTGCTGTCACCTAGAGAAAGTAGCTATGAATGTAAAAAAAATTAGTTGTTATAAAAGTAGCGTAATGTTAACAAAGTAGTATTTTGACTTCCATACAAAATATTAAATCCCTATAACATTATTACATTCTGTGCCGTTTTACGTAAAGATAATTGGTCAGGCTTCAGTCATACTGATCGATCTAATTTTATTTTTTGTCTTATGGAGCAAAAAATGTGTAAAATCCCAGTATGTGCCTTCATTTGGAGATTTGGATTAATTTGTCGCGACTGTAGTGTAGAATAAAATAAAATGACCTAGTCTTGGATTATTCGCAAATGTTTAAAGGAAACATTTCCTTTTTGATTTGCTATTTGTTATATTTATAACGTACTTCTTCTTCTACATCATACTGCTTTAAATGGTTTACGATCACTCTAAGCAGGTATACATTGTATACATGAAAGAGACAGCTATGAGATACAAGGGAATCCGGGAACCAGTCCCTATAATAGCTTTTATTGAATAGACCCCTTGGTTCTTTTACATGCCCAGGGTATAGCACTGATGCATGCGAGGATTTCTTACCAGTACACCTCTAGGTAGGTGGGAAACACTGAAAGTGTCTCTGAAAAATCCCAAGATTGTAACCCAGGATCGAACCCGGGACCTCAGATCTAACAAACTGAGCTATCGCGCCGCGCACGTAGATCAGCATACATCTTATGATAAGATACTATGTTGTTTTTCAGTTTATTTTTGCTTGTTTAAAGTCACACGGGTACTAGTATAAGCATATGACTTCTTTCCGCTTTTTTTAATGTGTACTGTTTGAACAGTAAAATGTAGGCCTATACCCTAAACGATTATGTATATGTAGATGGAACGAAGTATCGTGTAAGCCATGATTGCGATTTTGAGACTATTATTATATGACTTTAAATAAGCCTCTATTAACTTGAGAATAAACATTAAACGCTTTTATCATAACTTTATCTGGGACAGTAATATTAGGTTCTAGTGGCTTAAATATTTAGTAGTGTAAACAGTCATAAACATTTGGTGGTGTTCAAAACAACCGGAAATTAAAAAGTTAATAATTATCATTACAAATTTATATTTTATTTTATGAATATATTATTCATGTACATATGCTCTTTCGAAATTACCATCTGATTTTTAAAAGAAATATAATTTTTAAAAGAAATATATTATGTAAAATAAAAATATTTCCCATCATGATGTGTAAACTTCCGGCCAAATAGTTTGAAAATGGACGAAAAGAAGTGAAATTTTTGGAGTTTCGTGACAAATATTCTCTTTTTTTCAAAAGGTATCAACTGATGCATTTAACATCTACTTTAAAATAATCCATTACTGATATGTGAACCCATTTAAACCCGTTAAAGCATTAAATAAAGCTCTATATCGATAGTAATATTACGTATCCAAGATAAATAGTGAAATGAAGTAAAGCACATGAACAGAAAAAAATGTTTTTTGGGGTGACATTTGCAAGCCGTACTCGTGAACTGCACTATAACTTAGTGGGATGTTAGTAAAAATGATAAAACGTCAAGCAGCTCAAGGTTCTTTATCTGCTAACGAGGATGAAGACAACTGGTGCAAACCGGTCCTACTAAACACTGCTAAGGACTGCTAAGGACCGCTAAGGACTGCTAAGGACTGCTAAGGAGCCACAAAGGACTACTATAGAGGCACAAAGGACCTTAAAATACCTCCTAGGCCATTCTTATATTACATGGTATTATTTTTAGTGACAAAAAATTATAATTTTAAGAAAAAATATGATTTTGGTGAAAAGTTTATGAGTTGTCGGACCGCTAAGGACTGCTCAGATACACAAAAGACTGCTAGGGAGGCACAAAGGACCTTAAAATACCTCCTAGGGCATTCTTATAATACAAGGTAGTATGTTTAGGGACAAAAAATGTATTATTTGAAGAAAAAATATCATTTTAGTGATAAAAATTTATGTTTTTGAAGAGTTGTCGGACCGCTAAGGACTGCTCAGGTGCACTAACAACTGCTAGGGAGGCACAAAGGACCTTCAAATCCCTCCTAGAACATTCTTATAAATATATGGTAGTAAGTTAATAGACAAAAATGTATTATTGTAAGAAAAAAAATATAATTTTGGTGATAGAATTTATGCTTTCGATGAGTTGCAGGACCGCTAAGGACTGCTCAGGTGCAAAAAGGACTGCTAGGCAGGCATAAAGACCTATAAATATTTCCTAGGGAGGCACAAAGGACCTTAAAATAACTGTTGGGGCATTCTTATAATTCATGGTAGTATGTTTAGTGACAAAAAATGTATAATTTTAAGAAAAAATATCATTTTAGTGATAAAATTCATGTTTTTGAAGAGGTTGTCGGACCGCTAAGGACTGCTCAGGTGCACTAACAACTGCTAGGGAGGCACAAAGGACCTTCAAATCCCTCCTAGAACATTCTTATAATATATAGTAGTAAGTTAATAGACAAAAATGTATTATTGTAAGAAAAAAATATAATTTTGGTGATAGAATTTATGCTTTCGATGAGTTGCAGGACCGCTAAGGACTGCTCAGGTGCGAAAAGGACTGCTAGGCAGGCACAAAGACCTATAAATATTTCCTAGGGAGGCACAAAGGACCTTAAAATAACTGTTGGGACATTCTTATAATTCATGGTAGCATGTTTAGTGACAAAAAATGTATAATTTTAAGAAAAAATATCATTTTAGTGATAAATTCATGTTTTTGAAGAGTTGTCGGACCGCTAAGGACTGCTCAGGTGCACTAACAACTGCTAGGGGGAGGCACAAAGGACCTTCAATTCCCTACTAGAACATTCTTATAATATATGGTAGTAAGTTAATAGACAAAAATGTATTATTGTAAGAAAAAAATATGATTTTGGTGATAGAATTTATGCTTTCGATGAGTTGCCGGACCGCTAAGGACTGCTCAGGTGAGAAAAGGACTGCTAGGGACCTTAAAATATTTCCTAAAGAGGCACAAAGGACCTTAAAATACCTGTGGGGCATTCTTATAATACATGGTAGTATGTTTAGTGATAAAAAAAATATATAATTTTAAGGAAAAAATATCATTATAGTGATAAAATTCATGTATTTGAAGAGTTGTCGGACCGCTAAGGACTGCTCAGGTGCACTAACAACTGCTAGGGAGGCACAAAGGACCTTCAAATCTCTCCTAGAACATTCTTATAATATATGGTAGTAAGTTAATAGACAAAAATGTATTATTGTAAGAAAAAATATAATTTTGGTTATAGAATTTATGCTTTCTATGAGTTGCAGGACCGCTAAGGACTGCTCAGGTACGAAAAGGACTGCTAGGGACCTTAAAATATTTCCTAAGGAGGCACAAAGGACCTTAAAATACCTGTAAGGGCATTCTTAATAATACATGGTAGTATGTTTAGTGATAAAAAATGTATAATTTTAAGGAAAAAAATATCATTTTAGTGATAAAATTCATGTTTTTGAAGAGTTGTCGGACCGCTAAGGACTGCTCAGGTGCACTAACAACTGCTAGGGAGGCACAAAGGACCTTCAAATCCCTCCTAGAACATTCTTATAATATATGGTAGTAAGTTAATAGACAAAAATGTATTATTGTAAGAAAAAAATATAATTTTGGTGATAGAATTTATGCTTTCGATGAGTTGCAGGACCGCTAAGGACTGCTCAGGTGCGAAAAGGACTGCTAGGCAGGCATAAAGACCTATAAATATTTCCTAAGGAGGCACAAAGGACCTTAAAATAACTGTTGGGGCATTCTTATAATTCATGGTAGTATGTTTTAGTGACAAAAAAATGTATAATTTTAAGAAAAAATATCATTTTAGTGATAAAATTCATGTTTTTGAAGAGTTGTCGGACCGCTAAGGACTGCTCAGGTGCACTAACAACTGCTAGGGAGGCACAAAGGACATTCAAATCCCTCCTAGAACATTCTTATAATATATAGTATTAAGTTAATAGATAAAAATGTATTATTGTAAGAAAAAAATATAATTTTGGTGATAGAATTTATGCTTTCGATGAGTTGCAGGACCGCTAAGGACTGCTCAGGTGCGAAAAGGACTGCTAGGCAGGCACAAAGACCTATAAATATTTCCTAGGGAGGCACAAAGGACCTTAAAAATAACTGTTGGGACATTCTTATAATTCATGGTAGCATGTTTAGTGACAAAAAATGTATAATTTTAGGAAAAATATCATCATTTTAGTGATAAAATTCATGTTTTTGAAGAGTTGTCGGACCGCTAAGGACTGCTCAGGTGCACTAACAACTGCTAGGGAGGCACAAAGGACCTTCAATTCCCTACTAAACATTCTTATAATATATATGGTAGTAAGTTAATAGACAAAAATGTATTATTGTAAGAAAAAATATAATTTTGGTGATAGAAATTTATGCTTTCGATGAGTTGCAGGACCGCTAAGGACTGCTCAGGTGCCGAAAAGGACTGCTAGGCAGGCACAAAGACCTATAAATATTTCCTAGGGAGGCACAAAGGACCTTAAAATAACTGTTGGGGCATTCTTTATAATTCATGGTAGTATGTTTAGTGACAAAAAAATGTATAATTTTAAAGAAAAAATATCATTTTAGTGATAAAATTCATGTTTTTGAAGAGTTGTCGGACCACTAAGGACTGCTCAGGTGCACTAACAACTGCTAGGGGAGGCACAAAGGACCTTCAAATCCCTCCTAGAACATTCTTATAATATATGGTAGTAAGTTAATAGACAAAAATGTATTATTGTAAGAAAAAAAGTATAATTTTGGTTATAGAATTTATGCTTTTGATGAGTTGCAGGACCGCTAAGGACTGCTCAGGTGCGAAAAGGACTTCTAGGCAGGCACAAAGACCCGTCAAAAGTAACAAGAACTTTTACACCAAGGAAGTGAACGTGTGTAATGATTCTGTTGGAAACAACAGACATCTTGTTCTGTCGCGCAGGCACACTTTCACAACCTTTAAAGGAAATAAAAAACCAATATGACTTAGATCATTGAAATAGTACTTGTGAAATCTTATTTGTATATAACTTATTTATCTCTATATTTATGTATTTGTAAATAAGTAGACATAGAAACATTAGGTCCTGCTGAGAAGTGCACATTTGCCTGCTGCACAGTAAATGGGCAAATTAGTTTCGGAACAAACAACATATAATGCAGGCTTTTTTTTAAAAATATATGGGCCGCGTCACGACAAAACCAATATAGTGGGTTTGCGACCAGCATGGATCCAGACCGGCCTGAGTATCTGCGCAGTCTGATCAGGATCCATGCTGCTCGCTTTACAAATCCTATAACAAGTAGAGAAAACTGATAGCGAAACAGCATGGATCCTGATCAGACTGCGCGGATGCACAGGCTGGTCTTGATCCATACTGGTTGCAAACCCATTATGTTGGTTTTGTCATGACGCTGCTCATATTGCATTTGCAATTACTTTTGTTAGGTTTTCCCAAATGCCAAACTTAATTAATACATTAAATGTGCCTTAAAGTTTTTTATAATAGCATGACTCAAAATATAGATACAGACATTGTTATACCCCCTAAAATTGTCCAATTCTATATGTAATGTAATACATAAGCATCTTTTTTGTTTTTTTTTGGTTTTTTTTTTTTTTTTTTTTTTTTTTTTTGGTGATAGTGGAGTAACCACCACTATTATCTGTTTCATTTTCTTACTTAATTATTTTTACATGCACATAGAACATGTAATGACCTTTCCGATGATATATATCACTTGGTATAGGTAATCCTATATATTAATATATTTAAAATAAAATGTGATGAAAAAACTAAAAACACCCCCTCACCCACAATAAAGTATTCCAATTTGTGAAACAAATGCGCATTACGCATGACAAAACCATGTTACTGGTGCTTATTGATAGTCTAACAATGAAAATGTTACAAAAATTGCCATTTTTTCTCCGGCAATTATGTAACAGTTGTCTGTAACATCCGTCCCTATCATCAGTATTAAATATATATGAGCTGCGTCACGACAAAATCAACATAGTGCGTTTGTGACCAGCATGGATACAGACCATCCTGCGGATCCCGCGCAGTCTGATCAGGATCCATGCTGTTTCGCTATCAATTTCTCTACTTGTAATAGGGTTTGTAAGCGAATAGCATGGAATCCTGATCCAGACTGCGCGGTCGCAAAGCCATTATGTTTGGTTTTTGTCATGACATCGGCTCATATGGTGCTTACTTAATATCACAAAGGGTTTTTACCCTAAATCTCCAAAGCAAACCGATATTATTTT